GTTTATCTAAATCTTCAACGATTTTACTATAATGTTTTGATGATATCTATGTGTAACATTAAAAAATCCGCATATAAATTTCTATATTGACCTGAACTATGATGATCAACCATTGTGACCAACCCCAACAAATCTTGCCATACGATATACTGTGTAACCGAGCTCTACCTTAAATTAAATTTTTACCAAAAAATTTTCTATTTTCTATTTGTAATACAACTCAATTTTAATTTGAAAAAAAAAGTAATTTCTTGGCAGTGTACAAAATTTGGTGACTTGGTTACACGCTCACATTTTGGCAACGACGACGGGTATTCCTCCTATTACGCACAGAGACAAAAGCAAATGACGTAAAACTGCACCCTAGTAATAATAGTAAAGGATAAATGACAAGCCTCTAAAAAAGGCCATGACGCAAAACTATTCAAAAAAATCATCCTACGAAATTTTTTCTTTACTTTCATTTCTTAATTAAAATTTTTCGAACGTATTCAAGAAATGAATACCAAAAGGATATTAAATCCTTGATGAAAGAACAGATGCGATAAGGAAGAAAAGTCAAAATAGTGATCGATATAGGATCAAAGTTTCGCATCATTTCAAAACAAAACCAAAAAAGAAACCGTCATAGGAAACGTAAAATATTAATAAAAGATAACTGTAATAAAATAACAAGAAAAAAACATCAAGTTCTAGTAGAATGACATGTTTAGACTAAAGAAAGAGTTAAGACGCCAGAAGAAAATATTAATGAAAATAAATTATTAATTTAATTCATGGAATGTTCGTTCGAAGAAAATTTTAATTATTAATTTTGTTTATTGGCCTTTCGTCAAGGGTCCAGTCTTTCTCAATTCCAAAACATTTCATCAGGTGCAGCATAAAATTTATATAAATAAGTCCAAACATTTTCACAATTTAATATTAATAAAGCATTTCTATAATAATTAGTTAATTATCCTATTGGTTATGATAGATTTCAGTAAACAAACTCTATCTCTAGTAATGATCTCGAAATTATACTGTGTAACTAAATAACAGTTTTGTGCATTTGAAACATTCCTTTTTCTGTTATATAGTTATTCATTAATAGTCTTTACCTAAATTGGCAAAAAATTCACAGATGGACTCCGTTTCAGCAAATCATTTGTAGGAATTTTTTAAAAAAACAATGTGGGTGGAAATAATAACATACTAATCCATTTCATTCAACGATTTTTGATCATTGGTATTTCTTGCCTCAGTAGAGATATCACATTACACTATGTTCAAAAAATGGAAGTAACGTCTCTCTTTTTCACGGACTAGTAGCATTTCGAAAGTGTGGTACCTGTAATTTTTGATCATAATTTTCCGCCATCGGTATTTATGACACTCAAAAATCTCTCTGTACCAGTAAACTAGAGATATATTCAAAATGGAAATACTTTCTTTCTTTTCATAGCACAGAAATGCGATTTTTTTTTTATGTGATACATTATTTAATTGATTTGATTATTAATATTAGTAATTAGACTGTGACACAACCCCCCTCAGTTAATTGTTGATAATAAGACATTAAATTAGTATTAGTGGAAACAAAATGATCGGACAGATGCCAAAATAAAGTGTTTGTTGTTGTTGATGTGATGGTTATGATCATGCATGTTATTCTAGAAGTAACTAGATTAACTAAATTAATGTTATTATTTAAATAAACATATTTGGACGTGTAACCTTCCTCGATGTAAAATTTATATATAAATATCCAAATCAGAATTTAATGTTAATTACTTTCCGTTTAATAGAACACTTTTGTGGTCGGAATTAAACAATAGGGTTCATAATCGTCCATTTGTTATTATATTAGTATAAGGCTCCGAGGTTCTAGTTATTTGCTAAAGTAAAAAACTTAAAACTAAACCTCTGCTCCATTACAAAACAAAAACCTTGTTAACACTACACTGGTTAATCAACGCTAAAACCAAACCTGGTTAAGTGTATACGTTTTGTTTACTTTTTTGTAAAAGTGTTCAAGTGTTTAAGTGTGTAAGCGTAAAGTGTTAAATTTGTTCGGCAAAGTATAGTGTTAACGGTTGCTATCGATTAACCAAATATAACATTTATTAACCAAAATCGTTATCACATATTAAAATCATTGTCGTAAACGTACTCTGTTAAAAGAAAAATAGTTTAAGGAGTATTGTAAAGAGACCAAATCAACTAAAGTAAATAAAAAGGGCTTTAGAAAAGATTGTAAATCGTACCATAAAGTGTGCCGAGACTTTCTAGATGCAGAAAAGAGGCATTAAGCAAAGAATTGTTAGATAAATTCATAGAATAACTTAATTGAATATAAAAGCTTGCAACTAATCACAAGTGTAGCTCAAAAGTTAATTTGAATTCTCCATAAACGTAAAACAATCAGTATTAACCAAAAAACTATCTCGCACTATTAAAGAAAAGGTATGTCCTCTTCATTTTTGTAGTATGTAATATAAAGTGTTTATGCTATTTAACATTGATTTCTCACGGACTAATTTACCTTTTTGCATGATGCCTGTTTTTGTATTGTTTTTTTTTTTTTTTTGGCAATAAATTAAATTTGCTAAGCTGAAGATGTCAGATAATGTTGGAAAGGTAACAGATTTAGCTTTTTTTAAAAAACATTGTTTTTACCTAAAATAATAAATTTGTCTTTTATTTAATTAGGCTGCTCTCAAAATTCAGGTATATTGTTGGTGAATTTTTAACAATACTACTATTTTTTATTGACTTTTAAAACTTGGTTAAATTATTTTGTTGGTATGTATTTTTCAAATTGTATAAATTTTTCTTTTTATCACGAATTAAAACTAAAATAATTATTATCTTTATTTGATTTTGAATACAGTGACCCTACCTATTCAATATTTTCATTTTATTTTTAGACCTATGACCCAAAAATTGCAGTTTCATATAAAAAACAAGCAATAATTGATGATCAACCCTGTGTACTATGCGTGCTGGAGACTGCAGGACAAGGTAATACTTTGTTGCTTGCTTATAATAAAATTGAAAACAATAAAATATTTATTTATAGTTATAATTAACTTTTTTTTAAATAAAAGGGGAACACGTGCCACTTTGGGATCAATTGATCAGGTATATAGAAAGAAATTTAAAGTTTCTAATGATAATTGTTAGAATTAAACACTT